AGGACAGTTTCAATAATCAACACATTGTATACATTCTTCCTAGTGGTTAATTGCTGTACAAGATGCGGACTTGATATTCTATTTACAAACACCATTAGAGCAAATCCCTCTATTCATTAAGAGAATTGACTGACATTTTATTACTTACCAATTATGATGTATTATGAAAATGTGTAGTATTCAGAGAGTGCCTATTTACTTCATCTCATGAAGTTATTTTAGTTAACTGAAAACTACTATTAAATTTATTTTTTATTTTACTTATTTTTTGAAGTACTGGGAATTGAACTCAGGACCTTGAGCTTGCCAAGCAAGCGCTTATTCTACTGAGCTCTCTCCCTGGCCCACTACCATTAAATTCAGATTCACACATTCATTCCTCATAAGTTTTCTCAGAAACTTTACAGCTTGTTTCTCGCAGCTGCTGTGATCCTTACTTGTTACCACTCGGGGAGAGTCAGTGAATGAGCACTGAACCAGGAATGAGTTCAGTGCAACCAGACAATGACTTCGTAAGACAGGCCCTACCTTCTGGATTAGCAGTAGCAAACACACGGTTCACTGTACTTGATTTAAACACACTAGTGTGACAATTGGCAAAATAAAGATAAATGTTAATGCAACTACTTTAACAGAATTTATTCCTTTCAGGTACTGCAAACATATCTGCTACTACAGCAACACCAGCAACAGTTTCCACAACAAAAACATCTGAACCAACATCAAACACAGGCAATGGTGTTACTGAACCACCAGCTGGAACTTCTCCTAACGGTAGGACTAGCTCTTCATAAAACAGTTTTATCTTTAACATACAAAACTAGTAGAGGGGCAAGGGAGATAGCTCAGTAGAATAAGCACTTGCCAGGCAAGTGCAGGGTCCTGAGTTCAATCCCTGGTCCAGCAAAAAAAAAAAAAAAAAAATAGAGCCTGTGTAATTTAACACAAGAAGTAATCTGGAATCTTCTCTATGATTGTTCCACAGATCTGTGCTGTGTCACCACTATGAGATCCCTGTGTTCTTTGGGGTTTCACCCTAAGCCTGGGATCTCAGTGGGTCTCCGTGCCAATTTTCTTGGAGACTGCTTCCTGCTTGAGAATGTTCTTATTGTGAATATTGCATAAACATAGTTTATTTTTAGAAAAAACACCATGTGAAAGTCATAAAATTAGCTGCTCTAGCTCCCCACTTGCACGGCAGGGCCAGCACAGTACCCCATACTGAGAGTGGACTGATCTGTTGCTTGTTCTGTGGTGGTAACAGATTTAGTCTGCTGGCTTTGATAGCAATGTCATCAATTCTGTCACTGGCCTGGGTGATACCAAATCAACCCAGCAGATCTAGCTGGGTATTAAAGGAATTGCCTTATCCTCCACAACAATTTAAAATGACATTAGAATCCTTCCAGTAAAATGCAAAGATGTATTGATGCAAAGCAGTATTTGGTTTGTCCTGCATCCTAAAGAAATGAGGCATGTCCCTAATCAATGAGCGACAAAACATAGAACTGCTCATCGATTGCCTAGAGACAGAAATTCTTGTTAGAATGCCAAGGTCACAGAACAACCAGAAATCCAAGCATCCTGAGTGACTCAGTGACTGAAATTCTTCCTCAGCTCTTGATTCCTCCCTTAATTTTTATGGAGACCAGGCTCTCACATGAGGATCAACAAAGGCCAGTCGTCTGGCTCCACTAGGGTGGAGATGCTCAGAGATTAAGGGTGGCATGATCAAAGCCTACTATTTCTGCAATGTTTGATTCTGAGATGAAAGTGAACTAGTCCTCCTAGAGTTTCTCTATCAAGTCAGGGGAAGCATCATATAAAGAGAACAGCATGGGGTGTTTTATTCTCAGAATATTGTCCAACCTGTACTTCCAGCCAAGGAAAACTCCAAAGCACACAGGTAGGAAGCTATGGCCTATGACACCTAGTCTAGCCATTTCCTTCACGTTGTAGTTTTAATTTTAATCAAATCTAATGTCTTTCCACTTAGTTGTATCCCCAGCTTCCCCTCCTCTTTTTTGAGACAGGGTCTCACTAAATCATTAAACAGCATCGTCTGGGCTTGGATTTCCAATTCTCCTGCATCAGCCTGCTGGGATTACAGGTGTGCATCACCCCACCTGGATTATGCTTTAAAATAGTCCTAGCATTGTGGTCTTAGGTTCTGAGAACAGGCATCCTGTACACAGTTACAAAGTATAACTAGGAGGCATAATCAAAAGCACAGTGTATGTTTAAATAAAATGATCACCATAAAAGGTACATTAACATGAATCCCTCTCAAAATCCTCCCTCTCATTTCAACACATTTATTCTGTCACTCTTGCCACTTTCTAAAATAGTTCCGAATTCCTCTTCCTGGGTATCTTTAATTGAGTTGTCGTAGCTGCCCAGATGTCCTGAACTCATACAAAACATTGACTTTGTGTGGTCATTTTGACTTTAGGGAAGGGTCAGGAGTAGTACAGTGCCGGGTCCCGTGAATAAGGTGGGTGAGGACACAGCGTTACGTTTTCATGAGCCGCCTTTCCAATCAGCCTCCCTCGGGAGTCAGCAGCAGTCACTGTGTTTTTAATCACACCTCACAAAGACACTCATCAGCTGCTGCAGAGAATGGCGAGAACAATGGCACAAGTGTGGCTGAGAGGAGGGGCTACTTTAAGGGAGGTTGTTACCGTGTTTTTCACTATAATAAATTTATAAAATTTAAACGTTCACTGTAGTTTCTCATCACTTCTTGAATTCACTTGCCTCTCTCTCCTGCTCCACCTCCGAGTTTCCAGCAGAGTTTGGCATAAAATTGACAATATGAAAATTACTTGGTCAAAGTCTATTAGCTCTACCATCAGTAATGCCCCTAGCGACCGACACAGAGAAGCTGAGTGTTGTGTTGATGTAGCATGAAGACCCAAAGCCTTGTGGCTCCGGTCCACACCAACGTGGACCAAACAGAGAAGGCAACCATCAGGACAGGGCCCGTGTGCTCCGCGCACGGGGGACAGCGCTGGGGACAGCAGCACGGGAGTTTTCAGTGTGGACGCTGCCTGATCTCCGCTCTAGGGGGCGGGCACTGGTGAGCCCCTCTCTGGGTCACAGTGCTGCTCTCCCTCCAATGGGAAACAGAGCCTACAAGCAGCTTCAAAGGAGTCCAGAGTCTGTCTGAAAATCTCATAGTCTATGCAATTGTGTGCTTGCCTTCCTAATTTCAGGTGTAGTTGTATAGATCCTCCCATCTTCCAAAATAATCAGTTTGAATGACACAATAATATCAAAAGGGTATCTCCACAGTGAAATGGTTTCTGTTTTCTCTCCTCATGGCTAGCATAGTACCTTTAGCCACAGTGAAAGTATTTACCAAAATATATCATCATCATCATCATCATCATCATCATCATCATCATCATCATCCATGCATAACTTCCTTATTTTAATTTTAAGACTTCCTAGTCATATTTTCTTTGTTTAAAATTGGTTTCACATTTTTATGTCTATGGAAAGCATGTTCCTCCTCACGCCAATAGTGGAAATTCTACCATCAAGTAGAAGTGCCTGGTGGCAGCTGCTGGGCGGAGCTTTGCTGGAAGAAGAGCTGGCTTTCAGAGATTTAAAGTTAGGGAAAAGGGAATTGGGCCTCCCAGGTGGCTGCTCACTCTACAGAGGCCATGCGGCCAGAATTTAAAGTCATGTTTGGCAGACACTGCATGTCACCATCATAACATGAATATCTAGGGAACAAAAGCAAGCTGAGGGTCTGGGGAGATAGCTCAGTAGCATAACACCTGCCTGGCAAGTGCAAGGCCCTGAGTTTGATCCATGGTACCACAACCTGAAATTTTGTTCCTGCATGTAAATATTACTGAGCATGATTTAAAGACATTTGCTAGTCAAATGTTTTAATGAGAAGAATAATACCACAGGAAAAAACATGTCTCAGCAGCATAATCAATACCAGAGCTTCTGGTGTCAAATAGGCATTAACTACATCTGGTCAGGAGAGGAGCAGGTGTTTGGGCCAGGAATGTATGTGTGGCCTGTACATAGAGAAAACTGAAGGGACAGACTGCAAACTTCTTGTTGCTTTTCTCTGACTGGTATAGCATTAAAACCATGTGGGCACCTTGTGGTCTTTCTTCTTTACGTTGTTGTTTTTCTATTAAGTTTGCTAGAGAGTGACTCCCCAGGGATACCTGTGCATACCTTTGGTCACTCCTTTGCACAGATTTTTTTTTAATTTTAGGACAGGTTCTACAGGGTCTATAGGGTCTAACTACGTAGATCAGAATAGTAGTCTCATAGTGATTCTCCTGTTTTCAGCCTCCAAAGAGCTGGGATTACAGGAATGCGCCACCATGCCCAGTCCTAATCAGTGTCTCAGCTTGCCTCATGGACTAGGCCAGCACAGCACCAGGGATTGAATCCTGGCTGCTGAGGTCTACCTAAGCAGGTGCATTAGTCCAATGAGCTATCTGGCCAGCTCCTCACAGAATTTTGATGTAATAAAGTTGATGTTTTACTTTATGCTTATCACAAAATATCAGATGATTACAAGTTAGACATTCTCTTGAAGTACTTGCCTAAATAGAATTTAATACCTCGGGCCCAGGGAGATAGCTCAGGAGAATAAGCAC